ATGAGGACAGTGGATGGGGAGTGAGGGCGGGGGTGGGGCGGGAACTGGGAGGAGGGGAGTTATGGGGGAAAAAAGAGGAACAAATGTAATAATCTGAACAATAAAGATTTAAATTAAAAAAAAAAATAAACAACTATGTTACTGGTTCATGTATTTACTTTTTATTGTTAGTTTTGGAGGCACTCTTTCTACTTATAAAATAAGTTTGCAGTAAAACATTATGTTATGTTATGCAGCAGCTCATTTTTATGGGTCTCTTGATTGTATTATTTTCTCTTGTGCTTGATTTAATTTGATGTTATTTTGTTCATCGTGGCCGCAAAGGCATACAGAATCCACTACTATTGTTGCCAGTAAGAGGTTATGTTGAGTGGTTGACCTAGAAATGACATTGAAAGTGATTGAGGATGTGGAGGTGGGAAGTCAGTGATGGTTATTGCTCATCCGTCAGGCATGTCCCATCTATATAATAAAAGCCCAGCAACCATTAAGGCGGAATGACCAGAACAACCGGTCGACCAGTTGCTATGATGCTCATTGACCACCAGGGGTCAGACGCTCAATGCAGGAGGAGGAGAGGGAGGTGCAACAAGGCCTGGAGGTGCACGCTATGGCCCAGGGATCCCAGGACCTGCAAGCCCAGAGCTTTCCAATAAATAAATAAACTGAAAAAAACAAACAAACAAAAAACGGCCTAATGCTGCCACCCTAGGAAGAATGGCTCCAGGAGGGAAAGGCTTCCTCAGACCCCACCTAGTCTAGTGGGTGCATCGCGGGCTCACGAGGACTCACCTGTGATATGCAGGAAGAGCAGCCCCTCAGACTCCAAAGCTGGTCACACCAACAGCTGCTCCCCTTCCAGCTCCATGGTGAACTCAGCGCTGCTGGGCTGCCTTGGCTCTGACTCCCAGCTTCTGGTTTCCTGCCTGCCCCTTTGTATACTACATGTGTTTGGAGGCGTGGCTTCAGCCTCCCCGGCCAATAGCACCACAGCATAGCCAGAGAGTGGCAGGTCATGGCCAGCAGGGCTGGCTGGGCATTGATTTGGCCTCTGACTGACATCCATGTGCAGTTACACTGTGTGTTTATATTTGTAGGGAAGCAGGACAGCCCACTTCGGCTACTCGCCTCACCTTCTAGGTTAAGAAAGGCTGGCTGATCTCCGTGTTTCTCCTCCTGTCCAGAATCAAAACCTCTTGGGGATGAATGATATCAGCAATGGCTCCACCACACACTTGGTGTGACTGTCACAGACATTCCCAGTCATTACAGCCCATTCCTCAGCCCCCAGTGCCCTGCTCCACCCACTGCCACTCCTCACCTGTCACTTTCTGAAGTCCACCTGATGTTATCCTATTTGAAATGTGAGCAAGATCTCAAATGCCCCCCTGGAAATAGCTCCCTTGCCTTACCTTTTTTCCTCTAAAAACCTTGCATTTTAAAAATATATTTGGTTGATTTCAGAGAGGGAAATAGAAATAGGAACATCAATGATGACAGAGGATCATTGATTGCCTGCCTCCTGCACGTTCCAAAGTGGGGATCGAAACCTCCCCCGGTCCGTCCTCCCATCCCTCCCCTGGCCATCAGGTCCCCGGTGGCGCTGCTGCACCAAGGGAAGGAGGAGGGGAGAGGCTGGGAACCGCAGGGTGGTGGGGTGCCGAGGGCAGTGTCGGAGTCTGGTGTCTGTTCCTTCTGCGCCCGGCCCAACAGTAGTAACCTCCTCTCCTGACCCCGCCGGGGCCTTTGGGCCCCAATCAGCCTGGTCCTGATCGCCTGCCAGGTCTAGGTACCCCACCCGTGCATGAATTTCGTGCACCAGGCCTCTAGTCCTATATAATAAAAGCCTAATATGCAAATCGACCAAACAGCGAATGACCAGTGGTTGCTATGATGCATACTGACCACCAGGAGGCAGACACTCAATGCAGGAGCTGCCCACAGCCTGCAGGCCTGAAGCCAGCAAAGCGGTCGCTAATGGGCCCCACTCCCAATTGCCCTGCCAGTTGCCCCAAAGAGGGAGGCGACCGGCGGTGGGGGAGAGGCCGGTGAGTGGCCAGCTCCAGGCCGGCTAAAGCCGGTGCCAGGGGGGCCCCACAATCGCCCCACCAGTCGCCCCACAGATCAACCTTGATTGCCAGCCAGGTCTAGGGTCCCTACCCATGCATGAATTTTGTACATCGGGCCTCTAGTTCCACTATAAGAAGAACAAGAACAGTGTCTTGGCTGGTTTGACTCAGTGGATAGAGTATTGGCATGCAGACTGAAGGGTCGTGGGTTCATTTCAGGTCAAGGGCACATACCTCAGTTGCAGGCTCAATCCCTGGCTTCAATCAGGGCACGTGTGGAAGGCAACCAATTGATGTGTCTCACATCGATGTTTATCTCTCTGTCTTTCCCCCTCCCTTCCACTCTCTGTAAAAATCAATGGAAGTGTATCCTTGGGTAAGGATTAACAAAAAAACAAAAAACAAGAACAGTGACAGACGCTGTTAAATGATTTACTTTATTGAAGGCAATAGAATAACAAAAAATGTCAGATGTGGAGAAACTTCTAATGACCTGGATTAAAAGCTAGACATAGAAGTGTACTCCTCTCAGCACCATGATAATCATGGTCAAAGTAAAAAAAATCTGTGATGTTGAAAGAAAAGGCTGGACATGACTATCGCATTGAATTTACCACTAGCTCTGGGTGGTTTAAACCAGTGGTTGCCAACCTTTCAGACCTCACGGACCCCCAGTGGTCCACAGACCACTGGTTGGCGACCACTGGTTTAAATGATTAAGAATGGTTATTCATTCCATAATGTGAAAGTGAGTGGTGAGTCTGCAAGTGCTGATGTGAAGGCAGCTGAAGAATTTTTGGAAATTCTAGATAAGCTGGTTGTGAAGGAAAGTGACTTTCCAGAGCAAATATTGAATATGGATGAAACCTCTCTGTTCTGGAAACGGATGCCTGAAGGAGACCAAGTCAATGCCAGGTTTCAAGGCTTTTAAGGACAGGATAACAGTCTTGCTCGGGGCAGTGTTGCAGGCTGCAAAGGGAAACCCTGGATGATCTGGCACAGTGAGAACCCCAGTGCCCTCAAGCATATCAGTAAGCACACATTGCAAGCATACTACAGGGGCACTAAGAAGTCATAGATGACCCAGCTCTTCTTACAAGACATCCTCCTGAATTGCTGTGC